AGGCATGGAAGGTCCAGACTCAAAGAAAGAAGGTGATGAATCTACTAAAGAACTGCTCTCACCCTAAAGATGAGGACTTGGTAAAAAGGACTCAGATTCATGAAATGTGACATCCATTGGGACAGAATTTCCGACTAGCAGGATGATAATATTTGTAGCCTTTCAGCAGGATGATTAAGCTGCTGTAAGAATGGCATCTCCCCGGTAGCACTTGGGCACATGATTCTAAAAAAGAGAGGCACGAGCAATTTCAAGAAGATGACGATTCTTCCTCTCAGCAACCTCATTTTGTTGAGGGGTGTTGATGGAACCCAGAAAAATACAATACTGAATTCATTAACAATGGAGACGTAGCCTCTTTTTACATACACTAATACAATATAAAATGTTGAAAATAAATCCCAAGAGACCTCAACTCCCAGAGATCCCCAATTTTCCCCACTAACCAATTCTGAATACATGCATACCCCACACTCCCACACTCCCCTCCTTATATCCTATTATTTGTGAATATTCTAGAATAACTCCCTAACTAACTTACTAATTATCTTAGGCCCATCCTTAATTATCTCAGGCCCAACAATACTCCCCCTCCAGAATTCACCTTGTCCTCAAGGTGAGGAAGAGAGTAGGTGATGTGAGAAAATATCCACCAGGATCTCACTGCTTGAAGCATATTGACCCAATTAGCAATTGTAACATTTTCTTTTCATGAATCATATTATCCAAAATCCATCCAGCTACAACAAACATATCATATTCGAGACTTGCATCCTCCTCTGTCTCTTGGGAGAATAAATGAACGCCACCTGGATAAAACATGTGCATTGTATTGAGCTGTACAAACTCTGACCCACATCCTCTGCTCTTATTTCTTGTATCGCTTAGTTTCCCTTCTGATCGGGTTGGATTTATTGAGCCCCGTTCCAGCTTTCCCCATCGGCTGAACAGTCGTTGCCGGAGACCATCTCTTCCTTTTCCAGCACTGGTTTGCGTGCTCCCAAGAGCTAGTCAAGAGGATGGGAGTTTGAACGAACCTGGGTTAACGAATTTGCAATGTCACGTATGAACCAGAAGTTGCGCGGCCTTCGTTTCGCCATCTCCTCAGAAGACAGTCACTGGAATCGCGTTGTCCTTCAGTGATCATTGTCGTCTCCGCCCATATCTCCTCCTCGGCCGTTTCCCGTCTCTCTCCTTCTCTTTACGTTTTGTCCTCCATTATGACTAGGGTTCACGTTTCGTGGGTTACTACCCATACTATTGGGCTCAGTTCTTTGAGACCAGCCCAAATTATTATTTCCATCTCCCTCGTCATGACTTAACCTGGTTAGTATTTGTGTTTGTCTCATGAGGTTGGGTCAGAACCCCATTAAACCTGATCACGTTGCTTTGGTTAGGCCCTCTGGTAATGGGCCCCTTATGCAACTCATGCCCCCCTCCATTCATATCCACCAGCCCAGAATGATTAGCAAGCGCTGGTCTCCTAATTATTTCTCTCACAATTCTTGGCCTAGTTTCGTTTTGGCCCATGTTAGAGCTTCCCCTTCCCAACGTTGTCTCCCTCTCTTCCACCATCAACGACATCCCTCTTCTCAGATCTGTCAGATCATGAAATTGAACCTCAACTTGAATTTCTTCCTTCAAGCCACTGCGAACAACAGCTAGCCTCATCTCATCCTCCATGTGTTTTTCTTCTGCTCCTTCTACATTGTCTGATTCTGTATCTTCTTCATTTTCTTCTGTATTCTTTTGCTTTGCTGCAACGTCTACGTCTTCTGCCTTTTCTTCTTCTACTTCAATTATATCTGCACCTTTGATTTCTTTTTCTTCACCTTCTTCACCCTCTATTCTTCCTTCGTCGTGCACTCCATTCAGATTTCGACTATCATAACGCTGATCTATTACATCATTGAGTCTCCAAATTGTCGCTTGCATTTGACAGATAGTGTCTTCCACCCCTCCCAATCTTTCTTCCCTCATGTGATCCATGATTTCTTCCACTTTCGTGATTCTTTTTTTTTTTTTTTTTTAGAGCTAGACCAGAAGCACTCCCTAGATCGGAAATGCTCTGATACCAAATTGATGGAACCCAGAAAAATACAATACTGAATTCATTAAGAATGGAGGCATAGCCTCATTTTAAACACAATAATACAATATAAAATGCAGAAAATAAATCCTAAGAGACCTCAACTCCCAGAGATCCCTAATTTTCCCCACTAACCAATTCTGAATCCATGCATACCCTACACTCCCCTCCTTATATCGTATTATTTGAGAATATTCTAAAATAACTCCCTAACTAACTAATTATCTTAGGCCCATCCTTAATTATCTCAGACCCAACAGGTGTCCACATAAGTGAGTTCATGAATCATGCCCTGATCTTGGATGATTTGGGAAAGACACTGATTGACATATTCGGTACCATTGTCAGATCTTAGTCTTTTAATTCTTTTACCAAATTGGGTTTCAATCATTTTATAAAATTAAAAGAATAATTGTGGTACCTCAGATTTTTCATGCATTAAATAAATCAAGTTATACGAGTGCAATCTGAAAGAAACAAACAATTTATTCCTAGAAGCATGAGAAACTTTAGAAGGACCCCAAACATCAGAATGAACAAGATTAAAAGGCTCAACACTTTTAATGGTACTAAAGGGAAAGAGACACGATGGTGTTTAGCAAACTCACAAACTTCACAAATGGGCCAACACAAGATCAAGGGCCAAGAAGTTTAAAGAAGCTCTTAGTGGGTTGATCCAGCGAATGTGGGTTAATCATGAAGACATCAAGTCCAAATTTATTCATAATCAGAATTTAGTCAATGTCATCAATGCAAGGGAGGTTGAGTGGAATGAGTAGCAATTTTCAATGTCAATTAATGCTTAGTGGGATTGAAAGCATTTTCCATGTTATTAATGCCTAGTGGAGTTGATTCACATTTCCAACGTCATTAATGTTTAGTGGGTTGATTAGAGTCTTTTCCTTTTCCAAGTTGTCAACTTTAAATTAGTGTCTTTTCATTTGCTAATCTTTTCCTATTCTTGGAGGGATTGTTCCAAGTATAAATAAGGGGGGATATAACTCTTGTATTCAGATTTGGAAGTTATAATATAATTGAGAGGTTTCTTTTCTGTGGTTCTTATCTAGAACTTTGAACTTATCAAGAAGTTTGTTCTTGTGGCGTTCAAACCAGACTTATCACTCACCCTATTCTTTCTTGAATGTAGCGTCTTTATCCTTCTTATACCTTTGGTTCTTATCTTCCATAAATAACGGGTCCAGGTCCTTTATTTCTTGTTTTAAATTCCTGATTGTAGAAACGATCCTAACTAAATTGGTCTTAGGTCTCACTATGTTTGGTGAGGTTCATATCACTTAAGCAAATGAAATGGAGGATGCCCCAAGCATTTATGATGGAGCCAAATCAAAGAGTTAGCAGTAGACTGAGACTGATTCAATAAGGTGTGATTCTTAGCATACTCTGCAGAAGATTCTGGCACCAGATAGTACAGCCCACCTGGCTCCTTAGCACCCGCAATCGTCTTTCTCATGGCGAGATCCTGAAAAACACAGTGAGTAGGGAAGAAAGTTACAGTACAATTCAAATCTTTGGTAATTTTATGGATAGGAAGAAGATTAGTGGAGAGTTTGGGAACATAAAGAGCATTTTGGATATGTAAGGAAGGCTGTAAATATATGTTACCAGAACCCGCAACTGATGTGTGTGAGCCGTCAGCTACGGCTATTGTATGGGTGCCAATAGTAGGGTTATAAGAAAGAAAGGAGTCAGTACAACAAGCCATATGATCAGTAGCACCAGAATCGATAATCCAAGAATGTATAAGATCAGTACAAAAAGTAAGAAAAGAATGAGTAATGGAGCTCATACCAGTTATAGCCAAAGCACTAGTACTAGATGGCTTACTCAGAGAATCAAGCATAGTCCGAATCCGCTCCAACTCATCTCGGCGAATAGAAAAAATTCTGAAGATGCACCATTGGAACTTGATGAAACAAATCAGTCTCAAATTGATGAAAAATTACCCCAAAGGTATCTAGAGAGTCCAAATAGAGGCAGAATTATCATATTTGCCAAAAAGGAACCAAAAAAGGGGCCAAAAAGACTGCAACTTGAGGTGAAAATCACACAAACGCAAACCTAAATGATGTCTGACCGAAGAGAAAAACACAGATCTGGAACTGGGAAGAAGGGACTATCAAAACTGTGGTGGTCTGAGGCAAAATGGCGGCTGCACGCGCCGGGGAAGTGGTGGCGCGAGTCCCAAGCACAGAGAACTGATGCAGCATGCGAGATCGCGTGAGGCTTTGCACAGCGGGGTCATCCGGAGATGGCAGTCCTGTCTGTTGCTGGTAGGAGTTCTAAAGCTCACCGTAACAGTGTTTTTCGGTGATGAACAGTAGCGGGAATGCTGTTTGGATCATGGGAACAGTGTTTTGTGGCTGTTTGGGTCGTTTTATGACGGAGAAGTGTCCATAGATTGATAGATCTGGGAAAAAGGAGTCAAATGGTGGTCCTCTCGGTCCAAAAGGTCTCCGGAGAAAAATTTCCGGTGGCGGCGAGAGGCAAAAATAGGGTTCCGCTCTGAAGGCGGCAGTTGCGGAAGCAAGGCCCTCAGAATCGAGAGTTCTGATACCAAGTTAAAAATAAGGATAATATTATTTGATAATTGTGTATTACATCTGTACAATTGCTCTCTATTTAAAGAGACTAAATAACCTAATGGGCTAAGCCCAAGGAAGATTCTAGAATGAAAATAAATAAATAAGAAATAAGCAAATACAATTATTTACAACAGTTTTTAAAGGGGTAAGATGAGAAAGAGCCATACTTGAAGGATTGTTTTTTCCCCTTGTATTTTTATTTCTAGATCGAGAAGCATATTCAGTTGACACTAAACATGCTCTATATATATATATATAATATAGCATTTGTACTAGTGTGCTGATCTTTTGCTTTCTTCGTTATGCAGCTTTACATCCATGCTGAAAAATTTAACCAGCCAATATTTCACTGCAACAATATTTCTGGACTTGTTGAACCCGTAAGTAAATATTGGGTTCTTTACTACCCCGACTCTGTTCCTCTATATTGTGTGATTATTGTTGTTGTAGCAAAATTGTTGGTTCTAAAACTTGAACATTTTTAAATCGTAATAGGTAGTCCCAGATGACCAACACAGAGCTCTGTACTCCACATACTCATTTAAGATCTTATTCAAAGAGGGGGGCTGTGGAACATTCATTCCTCTTTTCTTCAATTTGATTGCTTCAGTGAGACAGTATAATCAACGCGCTAATATGCAGACAGTATCTCACGTGGATCCTTTGCAGGCAGCTCAGACTCCTGTTGATGAGATGATGAGACATGCGTAAGTGAATGTTATACTTCAAATTTATAAGTCAAATCTGCAGTGTAGACTTTAGGATTTATAATTTTAAACATTTTGCAGGTACGTTGATCCTAATGATCCGACAAGAATATTTTTGCAGCAACCCAATGCTGATTCTCAGCTTAGGCGTCGAACATATCAGCCACAGGCAGATGGAGGCCATGTCTGAGTCTGAAATCACAATTTCCCTCTCACCTTCATTGGATGATGTTTGTATGGGAACTGTGGACTAATATCAAAATAAATAAAATCACTTCATGTCTGTGTGACTAATTCTCATATATGATCAGCAACTAATATTTTATTATGAAATTGTATTCTATTTTTTTTTTTTTGGATAACAAATTGTATTCTATTTGATCGTATATTAGAGTTTCTAAAGATTTCAGATTTTTTTTTTCAGGATGTTTTGTAATGTAACATGGTCTTTCGTGTTTAGCATTGGGAAGAGTAATCAGTTATCGGGTATATATAAACGATGCATTATTGAGAAGCAAACTAGTAGAGTATTATGTTTTTTTATGAATTACTATGTTATTCTTAGTAATTTTTTAAAAAATATTGTTAAAATTTTATATTTGATTAGGATTTTACATATTTAATTAAAATTTATGTAGGATTATTATATTTCGTGATATGAACCTCAATAACAATAGTGAGATTCAAGATCAATGTATTTAGGATTGTTTCAATAATTAGGAATTGAACAAGAAAATAAAGATCCTTGACCCATTATTTATCGAAGATAAGAACCATAGGTATAAGAAATACTGTAGATGTTACACTCAAGAAAAGAAGGATTGTAAGTGATAAGTCTGTTTTGAACGTCACAAGAATATTGATAAATTGAGAATCCTATATAACATCCAAATAGAGATGGTATCCTTCCAAGAATAGGAAAAGACGAACAAATGAAAATATACTAATTTAAAGTTCACAATTTAGAAAAGAAAAATCCCTAATCAGCCCTCTAAGCATTGACGACATAGAAAATATTAAACAGCCCCACTAAGCTTTTATTGCATTGGTGACAAAAAATACTTAGTCCACTAACTTATTAAATTGATAAATCAATTTCACTAAGCCTTTTTTACTCTTAATAATTTCACTCAACCTCCTTTTCATTGATAGTATTGCTCTGATGTTAATAACCCATACATATAAGGAAGATTTACCAACACTATCTTCATGATATCATATCAACCCATTTCAATTATCTTTACTACCCACAATACCACAAAATCCACCTACAATAGCATTCTACATAAAAGGGTTAGACAAAATATCCAAATTTGTTTTCATTATGTCCTCAAATATATTTTATTTGCAGCCGTCTCTGTCTGTGGAGCGGTTAATACTGCAGCCATAGGATCAGGCTAAGGACTTGCATTAGGTGCTTCAAGGTTTCCACACAACCTTCTCATGATGACCACACATGTAACATAAAGGCATAGGTTGATCAAATCCACATTAAGAAATCACATTTGCAATAATCAATAAAGTCTACATACAAATATACAACACAAAACACAAAATTAAACAATCTGCGAGTTCCCTAAGAAACTGCTCTGATACTATTAAATATAACACTTCGTTATCGGACTGATGTGTTATAATCGATTATAATATTAAGGCAGCTACAATCACAACGGTTATTTGAAATTATGGGAAACATTCTTCTTTTGATAACACTTGCGTTTTTAAAACATCTGTATTAAACAGTTTACCAACTATGATCATAACTCGAAACTTATTCGAAAATATAAATACTATAGCTTAACATCTTACAACCTGAATTTAAAGATGCTAAGTGGTTCCCATAAACTAACAAAGTTTAAATACTCACTTTTACATTTTTCAGATTTGAGGTACCTTTAGTTTTATCAAAACTGCACAAGGACGACATGTTCATAAATTCTCATCTTTTATTATGTTAAACTAGACTCTTCTAGATTTCCAACGAGTTATCACACGCCTCAATTGTAGTTTCATAACTCCGGATATGCTTGTCGTAAGTTAATTCCTTAAACTGTTTACAGTGGAATTATAGGAATTATGAGGACAGTTCGTAAATCCCCAAACAGAGGAATATTCCCGTGCCCAGAAAATTCTCCAAAAATCATTTAAATAAACTATACATCTAGGGCTTGAATTTGACATAAGGTACACCTTGTTTCGATGAGAAAAAAGGAGTCGAAACAAGGAGATATAATCGTCGCAAGTTAAATGTCCAAAACTTCAATAGACAGCGAACAGGGCCTCTGAGTTCTTTCACGGTTTTTGAAACTGCAGGAGATCTACTACTCAGTTTATTCTAAATTTTTAATAGGTTATAGTACATGTATACCTTTAACTTGACATATCATACGCCCTATTAGGAAAAGAAATGAAGGAGATATAAATTTTCAAAGTTGGCAGATAGAGGCTGCCTTCAAAATTCGCGAACAGGGCAGTTGACACTCATCCAAAAACTACAACACATATTTGTCCTATATTTTAGGACAGTGTAGGGGACATCCTAAGCTTCAAAATGGTAGCTCACACACCTCATTTAACCAAAGAATGAGGGAGATATTGATATCCAAAGTTAGGGTAAAAACCTACTATTTTCTGAAAATTTTGGCAGGATGTATTTGTTTCTACAACAAATCCTTTTATTTCAATTGTACTTAATTGACATTAAAAAGGCATCCAAAGATCCAACAAACTTTGGTGCACTTACATCCTTCATTACAAGGCATATTCTTATCATTACTTATAATTCAGGGTATTATCCATAGCTTGCTTACATTTCAAGTCATTATCAAATTTTCATACATCAACTATATACAACCTCAATACCAAATAGGCCTAAGCCTTTCAATCACACACATCAATATTACATACCAAGAATCTCAAGTATATTTAATTACATTTACATCAACTAATCCAAATATAACTGTTACATCAAATTTCAACTACAATCTCAAATTACATTATCCATTAATGATACCCAATTGAACTTAGCCCAAAATAAATGCATGAACAAAAACCAAACATGGTGTACATCAATCATATATAATGTAAAGTTCATGCACTAAGCCCAATATGCCAAAATATATATCTCCAAAATGTCTCCAAATGTTAATATGCCCTAATGCACTTCAATAGTCACTCTGAACCCTAAGCTGGCCTCTTGCCCGATGCTCCACCCATCTGCTCAGCTGTACCTGCTTATAGATCCCCAAAACATGGGGTGAGATTTGATAATCTTAGTAAACCACAGATCTTGGAGGGTTACTCCACCCAATGGCTCACTCAAAGGTGCAAGCAGGGATAATATCAATATAGTACATTACACAATCAAACAATCAACTAGGCACAAATCCGAGAACATCCACTCAGGGATATCGTTCAAAGACCCCATCATATAACTCTCGAGATATTCCTGGAGTATTAACAACTCTAAGGCACAATGTCAAAAAGAACTCCCTACATAGAGGCCTATCTGGTGGAAGTCCCCACAAATTTTCTACTAATCAGATAAACATGCAATCAGGCCTCATAAGCAATACACATATTGCACACAAAATGTTCAAATGCATGAGCTTACTTTATTAAACATTTTCATAGGTTACAAATTTCAGCCATTCCCATTGGAGCACACAAGGGGATTAACCCTAGTATACAGAAGTTTACTAGAAAAGGTTCTTCCAAGCCTCGCTTCCTTGCCCGACAAGAAGGCCCACATCCAAAGTAGTTTTGCACAATAACCACAATCCTTGCAACCAAGGACCAAAAGCTTCCAAGATGAGATGTCCAAAGATTAACCTCCATTGAAGTGTCCAAGAGTCTTCATCTACATGATCATATCACCATATGATCAACAACACACTTGACAACAAAATGTAAGCAAGGTAATACACACATTTTATTCCAAGCCCACATCAAGCTCTCGGCCAAACAAGCCCAAAATATCAACCTTTGTGTTTTAAATTCAAACAACCATTCTTACGACTCCATTAGCCTTCAATTACACTATGACATTTCATAAATGCCTCACAACAATTCCAACTTCATTTTTCATCATTAAGGTCGAGGTATACACATCAATGGGCCATTTCCTCCATCTAATTCACAACCAACCAACATGGTCATCAATTTTCGAAATTGGTTGCCTAAAAATTCAGAAAAACATTCTTTGATAAGAAATTCATATAAAATCGAAAATTTATCCAAATGACTTGAAATTTTTATGGTAGAAAGTAGACATCTTGGGCTTCAAATTGATGTATTTTTCCCCAAGTCTACAACTCTAGAAATAAATTTCTTAATCTACCAGGCAGAATTGACACATGACCAGATTTTGAAAATAATGAAGATGACCCACACAACTTCTCAAGATATTTCCTCCATTAAAATCATCATCCAACCTCATCTGCCTTTAATCCATTCAAACCTATGTTAAACTCCTCATCTAACATCACATTACATCATCAAATTCTTCACAAAATCATCACTTTTCCATCACAAGATTTTGTCTAAGTGTCAAGACAACTATGCTATAATTATTATTAACTTTTCACCATTTAATCATCAACACAAGCAATAAACTCCAAAGGGATAACATCATTTCACTCCTCTAAACAACCCCATCAACTTTAAAAACTCAAGAACATTTTCAAATTTTGATCTACAAGAATATCAATGGAAATCAAAGAAATTTACCATGAATCAACTCCAAACTATCCAAGGAGTAAGAATCAATCCTCCATTCAAGCAATTCTATTAGAGTAGTATAAAATAAAAGTAACATATTTGTTGTACTAGGGTTAACTTTTGTGAATAGGCTTTTACTTTCAGTAGGGTTACTTTTGTAAATATGCTTTTACTATTCAGTTTAGCAAATTGAATTCTGTTTCAACAACTCAGCTTACGTGTCCTTTCCTTTTAACTCTATAAAGAGCTATCTTGTACAGTGACTATGCATTCAATACAATGACAAAGTATATTCAGTTTCTCTTTCCTCTTTTTTCTCTCAACCTTTCTCTTGTTTTCTTTCGTTTTCTCTAACGATATCAGAGCTCTCTCTGAGGGCCTGATACAGATCTCTTCACTATGTCTTCCACTTCAGCATCTTCGTCTTCAACTGAAGTGCACCTTCAACTGAAAATGCGACAATGGATAAACGTTCTTCTTCTTCTTCTTCTCCGTCGCTATTCAACCAGCAAGTTTCTGTTAAACTAGTAGAAAGCAATTTTGTTCTTTGGAATTAGGTTGTAGAACATGTAATCATCTATAATCAACTTAATCACTTTCTAGTTTACCCTAAAATTCCGCCTCAGTACAGATCTGAGTAAGATCACGTTGATGAAGTTGTTAATCCTTTGTATATTGAACGGTTACTCCAAGATTAGATGCTTCTCTCGTGGATTCTCTCTAATATTTCAGAAGAAATATTG